GCCCCATTCCCCGCCCCCCTGAGCCAGCCAGTCCCCGCCCTGGGGCCAGGTGGGAGCCGGGACAGGCCCCTCACCGGGGTAATTCTTGATGAAGCTCTGGTAGAGCTCGCCCAGCTTCTCCCCACTGATGTGGCGCGCGGGGTCGTCGGGGGATTTGAAGTCCAGGTCATATTTCCCGCTGCGGAAGAACTCGGAGGCGGCGACGTCCATCCCGATCACCACCTTGTCGGGGTACCCGGCCTTCTCGACGGCCGACTTCAGCAGCTCCAGCGCTGGGGAGGAGGAGAGCACGCCACGGGTCAGCCCTAGAGACACGGGTGCGGTGCCCTGCCCCAGAGGTGGCGTATCTCAGCACCGGGCCAGGGGTGAACACAGGAGACCACAGCGGGCTGTGACCTTTCCTGGCCCAGCAACGCTCAGTGTTCGGCTCGGGTTACCAGCAGCTGCACTAATGGCTGCGACATCTGACGAGGGAATTGGGGGATGAGGCTAAAACCCAGCCGGAGAGAGCCGTGAAACCCAACCGCAGGGCTATAAAGTAGCTGCTACCCTCTTCCTGTCAATCCGCAGCCAGGGAGTGCAGGGGGAGAGAACCCAGGCGTCCAGGCTCCCAGCCCCCCCTGCTCTAACCCCCCACCCCCACTCCCTTCCCAGAGCCGGGGAAAGAACCCAGGAGTCCTGGCTCCCAGCCCCCCCTGCTCTGACCCACCAGCCCCCACTCCCCTCCCAGAGCCGGGGAGAGAACCCAGGAGTCCGGGCTCCCAGCCCCCCCTGCTGTAACCCACCAGCCCCAACTCCCCTCCCAGAGCCGGGGAGAGAACCCAGGAGTCCGGTACCTTCATTGTTCTCCAGGATGTTGGGGGCGAAGCCGCCCTCGTCCCCCACGTTGGTGGCATCCTTGCCGTACTTGGCCTTGATGACGGCCTTCAGGTTGTGGTAGACCTCGGCCCCAATGCGCATGGCCTCCTTGAAACTGGCTGCCCCCACCGGCAGGATCATGAACTCCTGCATGGCCAGCTTGTTCCCCGCGTGCGAGCCCCCGTTGATCACGTTGAACGCCTGCCAGGGGGGTGGGGGTGGGGGTCAGCATAGAACCCAGGCGTCCTGGTCCCCAGCCCCCCCTGCTCTAACCCACCAGCCCCCACTCCCCTCCCAGAGCCGGGGAGAGAACCCAGGAGTCCTGGCTCCCAGCCCCCCCTGCTGTAACCCACCAACCCCCACTCCCCTCCCAGAGCCAGGGAGGGAACCCAGGAGTCCTGGCTCCCAGCCCCCCTGCTCTAACCCATCAGACCCAATCCCCCTCCAAGAGGAACCCTGGCATCCGGGGGCTCTCACCGGGACAGGCAGGATGAGCTCCGCGTTGCCAGCCAGGTCGGCGATGTGGCGGTAGAGGGGCACCCCCTTTTCCGCGGCCCCGGCCTTGCACACTGCCAGAGACACCCCCAGGATGGCGTTGGCCCCAAACTTGGCTGTGGGGGGGGAGACAAACGGGATTAGCCCCCCCACACACACCCTACAGTCAGGTAATGGGGAGGATCAGCGGGGGGCGGGGAAGATGTGGGGAGCGGTTTGGGGAAAGAGCTGGCGGGGAAGGGGCCAGAGGGTCGGTGGCGATGTCTCTCACTCACATTTGTTCTCTGTCCCGTCCAGGTCGATCATGAATTTGTCGATTTTCTCCTGCTCCACCACACTGAGTTTCTGAGGTGCAGGGGGACAATGGGGGAAGGGGTCACACAGGCACCATGGGTAGCTGCCCCCCACATCCCCCCCTCCATCTAGGACACCTCACACCGCTGCGACCCCCCCCATACTTTGCCAGGCACCAGCCCCCCAGACACCACCCTATACACAGCCAGCCTATTCTACCCAGGGACCCCCTGCAACATATCTAGCTCCCTCCCCCAGCTAACCCCACTCCTGGGCCTCCCTCTAATACCCAGATACGCCCTCCCTAGGTACCCCCATGCCCTCTGGGCATCCCCCCATAGCCAGATACCCTCTAGCACCCCCCATAGCCAGGTACCCCTCCATGCCCATGTACTGCCCAGACCCCCAATTCATGAGCACCCTCTACAGGCACGAGCGGGGAGTCATTACCTTCTCCAGGAGGGCCGGCGCAATGGTTTTGTTGATGTGCTCAACAGCCTTCAGGACCCCTGGGGGGAGAAGGACAGAGATGTGGTACCCAGCTGGTCTCTACTGCCCCCCCCCCCCCCGTCCGAGCCGGCCGCCGGGGCCAGGGGCGTTCGGACAAGCTCCGGTTTCCACGGGATGTTCTGGGAGTTCGTTTGAGATCAGGAGTTTTATTTAAATTAATTAACTATATTCTAACGAACTAACAAACCACCCGAGAAGGCACCAACCAGCCCTTTTAACCAGCCAATGAGCCAACCAGGCAATTCAATCAGTCAACCAATGAATGAACCGGTCAGTAACCCCTCAGCCAACCAGCCAAGGAAGCTCTCAGCCAACCAGCCAATCAACCTCTCAGCCAAGCCTATGAACAAGTCCAGAAACCCATCCCTGAATCCATGGCCCTCTCCCAGGGCTTGTGTCCACAACTCCTGCTGGGATGACTGGAAACGTGTCCCCCCCCCACACACACACACCAATATGGGGTCAAGGTTTTTATCACCTCTGGGCATTTGTCCAGCACGCAGCAGCACCGTGAACTAGACCAGCCCTGGCTGTGGATGGAGGGGGGGGTGTGGGGATGGAGGGCGGGAGGGCGAGGTCTGTGGGGAGGGAGGGATAAATCTTCCCACCCC